GTTCCTGGTGGTTCCAAGGTTCCTGATGGTTCTGATGGTTCTAAGGTTTCTGGTGGTTCCTGGTGGTTCCTGGTGGTTCTAAGGTTCTTGATGTTCCTTTGCCGTCAAAGCAGATTATTTATTTTTTTTGATCGAAAGGTAAACGTAGCTCTAAACTGAAGGAGACGAGAGGGAACTAATGTTGGTTCCCTCATCAGAACAGTTTTATTTGTATTATTGCTATTATTATTGTTGGTGCAGTGTGGACCCTCTGAAGATGTGAACGGGTTCTGGTGGTTCTGGTGGTTCTGGGTATCAGGGTACTATCCTGTCGGGCTGTTGAAGCCATAATCTCTATTTTACATCTTACAACTTTGAAGGGAACGTCTTGCAGAACCCATTGCGCTGCTGCTTCTCCTATTCCTTCCAGGTTCTCCTCCCAGGTTCTCCTTCAGGGTTCTCCTAGTCCTTCAGTTTCCTGTTAGTCCTGCAGGTCCTAAAGGGTTCCTGTAGGGTTCAGGTTCCTGATGGTTTCAGGTTCCCCTGGATTCCAGCAGAGCGATGTGTTCTGCAGAGGTTCTTCAGTATTTCGCGGTACAGAGTGATGAAGGAATCCGTACTGAGGGTTACAGACAGAAGCTGTTTACTGTTTGTTTCTCATGTTTGTTGACAGTATTTTTGTGTTGACAGTATTGTTGTTTGGTTGACAGTATTATTGTTTTGTTGACAGTATTATTGTTTTGTTGACAGTATTGTTTTGTTGACAGTATTGTTGTTTTGCACAGATATTAAGCACTTCTGTTGTTATTGACGACGATGTTTCTATGCAGATGAACCAAAGTGTGGAAGCACATTTCCTGTCTGTATGTTTTATAACCCGACCAAATATTAAACACTTATTATTATTATTGTTGTTGTTTGTTTGTTATTAGAAGTCTAGTAGAAGTGAACAAATCTGAAGTTACCTACTGTAACTCCAGCTTCTATGAGTAATGGCGTAGCCCTCTAACCCTATCGCTATTGGGTAATCCCCTGCGCCCCCGCGCAGCACTGAAACACTTGTAGTCCACGTCCACCCGCAAGGTGGGCCCCACCCTCGGGCTCCCTTCCATTATAAATAGGAAGGAGGCCCGACAATCTGCTCCCATACAAAATAACTTTTCTTCAGCTATTCGTGGAGCCAGTGGGGCCCAGCGCTTAGAGGGCTACGCCAATACTCATAGAAGCTGGAGTTACAGTAGGTAACCTCAGTTCTATCTCGTATATGGCTTCGCCCTCTAAGGCTATCGCTATTGAGTTAAGGGCGAAGCATGATGTAGTCTGCACCCCACTGGATCCGCCCGGCACTAGAAGCACAGACACACCTGCTCAATAACACCCCATGCCTGTTGTGCCATGCGTAATGGAGCATAACCGTCCCTGGAACATAGCAAGACATGAATATTCTCCATGAGGGGACGAAGGCTGGGAACAATACATACCTGCCGCTGTGAGAAAGTAGAGATGAAGGTCATACTTTGCCCAGTGACAAAAGAGGGGGAACAGCAGCTCTCTGCGTGCAGACAGGAGAGCGCACAGCTGGATCCCTGACGTCTCTCACTCTGACAGGACACTCAGTACAGGGTGTGTCAGAGAGGAATGAGAGACATCTCTCAAATACAATTGAATCAATGAACAGGGGGAAGACCAAGATGCAGCAGTGCAAATGTCTTCCACTGACATTCCTCCGTGCCAAGCCGTGGAGGAGGACATTCCTCTGGTGGAGAGCGCTCTGATGTTCTCCGGGGGCTCCACC